CCCTCTCCCTCCCCCCTTCAGATTTATTTCTGTTGACTTTCTCCTTCTCCTTTACTGGTGCTGCATAAAAATAGTGTGCACTCGTAAACCAGTATTATTCTTCATATTAAAATCCCAAAATCAAGATGCTTTTTCCCTGAAAATAATATCCTCATCTGGTGATGTTCACACTTCCGCAAGTTGTTTCCTCCTTTTCTTAATTAGCAAAAGCAGAAGATTCCAAAACCTTAGGCATGAAAAGCATCTCACATATTCCAACTTGACCAAAATTTCAACACATTCTATGGGGTCTAGCTCCATGCTTAAACTTGAATCAGCAGAATACAATAAGTGTATGCATAATGGTAATGTAAATATTAGTGAGAGTTGCAACACGAGAAAGAGAAAAATTCCAAAAGTTAGTTGAGATCTACAAGATACATTTACTGCATGCAGAAAGATGAAAGAGATGGTCCATGTTGCTCTGGACTGAAACATGTTTCTGCAGACGAGGTCTCAGCAGCGGAGTACTCAAATAAGATATATTCATGTTTCTTTCGGCACATCTTGATTTTGTTTTATCCATGAAAATTATATCCAGAAGCTTCAAGAGAAGGGCATCTAACATTCACCAAGAGCACCCAGTCTAACAAGCATACACGACACAATTTTACAGTGTGTATAAATCGTACCCTTCTCACCAGAAAAAGTAGAATAAAGAATATAATTTTACTTGTAAACTGTTCAATTTTCTCTCCTAGTCTCCCATAGTTGTTGCTACTTTCTAGACTCCAATTAACCTTCTGGAAGGGACAGTGAAAGTGTAGAGAGAAGTACACAAAATCCAATCAATTATATGACTTGCAAACACATCTTGGTTTTGAAAAGGTTATGAGAACTGCTTTAGCAGAAGTTGTTGTGCAAATGGAAAAAAACAATCAACCTTCGTAAACATGGGAAGCATAAGTCTGATAGAGATCAAGGAAACGGCAAAGGGATTTATAATGCTTTGGGCTACTCCACCCACTGACTTAAGGTTTAAGTTGGATGCTCAGATTCTTTCACATGATACCAAAGCCAAACTTTGGTGAATCTGTCTTCATAACTGCTTTCTTTTTTCATTTTCATTTTTTGTCACTCTGAATTTCACTCTCAACTCACCCCACTGAGCTGTTCTAGGCTTCGCTTTACCAATTCAGCCTATCAAGCCACTAAAATTGCTCTAAGCCCACTCATTAGCTTATTGAGCCTAATCCATTTCCCTCTACTCCAGGAGTGAGCCTGCTGACCTCCTCTCTGTCTACTTTACAAGGAAAAGGCCCAAATAAAAAGAGAAAATCAAATCTGTGTACCCTTGAACTGGGTTACACGTGTAAGAGGGTGTTATTGTTAAAGAATATGCTTGTCCCTCATAGGTTATATAAGGGTTTCAAAGGGGTTTATAATATCCGGGCTACTCCACCCATTGCCTATAAGGTTTTGGGTTGGATGCTCAAATTCTTTCACATGCCTAACACTTGAGGACACAACAAGGGACTTATGAAAAGTATTTCTCCAGGAGAGAATTCTTAAGGTTAAATTATTTTCCTTTCATTGATAATCAAGAATTATTTACCCTACATGATAGCACTTTTTTGCAAGAAAAGATAGAGAAAAGGAGATTTTTCCTACGTATAATGCTATAGTGCTTCCTATATATGCACTATCTACTTATTTCCGTTTAATTTTAAAAAAGAGTTTGAGATAGTAAAGCGAAAATTGTTAATATCTTAGGTTGCAAAAAATAAAAAAGAGAAAGTAGGTCAAGACTGGTCCAGATTGTTCAACAAAAGAGTAGAGAATAAGAATGCCTAAACATAAAATTGAACAAAGCAATACAGGGAGATGACTTCTGTAAACAGTTAAATAGAACAACTAGAAAACAATAGGACCTAAAATAGATGTACTAACATAACTAAAACATTAATCCAACCTATTGGTATCGCCTATATAGATCCTTTTTTCTTCCATTGTGCCCTATTTTTCACTAGATCTGCAAGGATTCCAAGAGATTGTAGGTCATTTCTAGCAACTTCCTTCCATGTGATATTAGGTCTACTTCGTCCTGTTTTAACACCTTCACTCATGGTCTTACACCTAAGCACCGATGCATCAGAGGCCAATGCAGGACATGACAAACCTAAAGTGACCTCTCATCCTATCCTCAATGTGTGCTGCTAACACCATTTGCCGCATATGATAACTTTTTATTTTGTCAATGAAGGAAAAAATTTCATGTAGCTAGAAGCTTACAATGAGGTACAGAGATGACTTCTGTAAACAGTTGACATTACAGATGAATACTACAAGCAAGCATAAGGGCCATAGGATTTCAATCCAAAAGGAAAAAGAAACAAATATCGATGACATACAGTGAATAAGGATACAGTAAACTAGGAAAGCTATGACTCAGAACCAATCCAATTAGTTACAGCTCTGAAATATTAACAGATAATTAACTTACATTTGCATCTTCTGAGTGAAGATTGAATTGTGGTTCAATGACATTGACCATGAAATGGCGAGTGCCCTCCCCTTCACAGTCTTCAATGTTGGCAAGCTTTGCTGGTAATAGAGATAACTTATTGTGGTGAGGAGTTTAAGCAGTGAGAATGATAATAAAGATTATGACCCATATCTCAAATATCATACAAACATTTATATAGATCACAAGCAAATGCAGCCATGTCAAGCTACTACAATTAATCGATTGTCAAAAAAAGGGGCTAGTCAAGAAGGTAGATTGGATATGCCAAATATGCAAACTAGAAATATTGATTTTTAGTGCTTAGGCAGTAAAATATTAGATCATAAAGTACAACTCCTTATGTATAATAACTAACAACTATCCAAGAGAGTGCAGCGTTTTTAGAACTATGCTAGGTTTCACTAATTCTTTCTTCTTATATATATATATATATTTATTATTATTATTATTTTTTATTTTTTATTTTTATTTTAATTTTATTTTGTTTGAAGTTTCACTAAATCTCAAAGAAGAATACACATATCTAATGCTCTAAGTCAAGATAGAGAGTCAGGGTCCAATTAAAGCTTACCAGCGGAACTAGATGGAAGAGTTTCCACTTTAACTTCACTTGATGGAGGTGATTCTACTTGTGCTTTTGATGGCCTCACGTGTTGTGGAGAAGAGGAACTTGCACCGTGACTAACTGGAGACTTCTGGTTATCATCTTGAGGTAATTCAGTTCTATCAATCACCTCACTATCCTCCAGCAACTTTCTTTGGGCATATTGCCTAGAAGGAGATGGCTTTGGAGATTCAAAAGCCTTAGATATTCCACCTACCCAAGACCAAACTGCATCCCTATTCTCAAGTGTCCACAAAAGCTTTAGACCATAGACAAAGATACGCTGACAATTATCAGCGATCACTACATTATATCCATCATCGTCACTTGGGTCAGATCTTGTATGGTCATCACTTTCACTCCCATTTTCAAACTCAGATCTCACATATGTCATCTCGAGATTTCTCCTACCAGCTTCTTGCCACGCCAACAACCTATCTGGGTCAGCTTTTGGGGCTTGCCTTCTGATTGTAAAATATTCAGATGATAAAAGAAACCCATCATCACGCTGTTTCTCCATGCTGCTGCTCATACTGCTAGTTTTATCANTATCGTTAGAAGACCTTTCTGTTGATGCAGATTGTGATGTTTTCCTAGTCATTTTAACTACTTTTGCAACACTGCTATCATCATCTCTATTTATAAATGCCTTAGGCATGTGGAGGTCAAGACCCTGGTACACAAGATCAAGAGTGTCACGCTTGCTCTCAAAGGTGTATTTTTGCTTTCCCCGGCCATAATAAAGTTCATATTTTAACTTATTCATAGAAAATGTCAGCCCCTTTGCTGGGTCATCATCGTCTAAAGGCATATGCCTTATGCATGCTGGTGTGGCATCAACTCTGAACATAAATTCTGTCATCACCTTGTCTAATGAAAGATTGCCAGATCTAGGAACTCTCGGTATTCCAAAACGTGGCCACCTAGAAAAAGACCGCAATTTGTGAGGCGGATTATAATTTAAGCTCCAGAATTTCAGTATCCATGCCAAATCATGAGGACCAAGTTTTAGTGTTGGAGAAACTGACAAGCTATCTGGCTTCGTTGCACCACAACCAGTTGCATCCAAGGCACCCTGATCACCCACTGAACATAAGCTTGACTGATTATCATGAATGGGAAGAGAGGGCCTAAGCAACAAATTCCACCGTAGTGACAGAGAAGTTGATCTAAATGGATCATAAACTTTTTCACGAGGCACTCCTTCACTGGGAAATGCAAATAAGTAATGGTTTAGAGGGTTTCCAGATTCACATTCCCACTCCATTATCACTTCAAGACTAAAGGCCGGGGCCTCTATGAAAGTACAGGAAAAGCCAGGTGGACGCTTTAAGTTGGAGTTCTTCAACAAGCTATCCAAGCTGCTCACTAGAATCTTGAAGTTCTTTGCAAAACAATAAACGCGACCATCTGACTGCTGGAGTTCCATATACCCAGATCTTATCTGAAGCTTGTCAGACTTTTCATAAGGATCAGTACTGGCAAGAATATTCCATTTGGACTCAGAAAAATATATGGAGGTGTTTCCATGAATGTAGTTTTTCATTTCATCCCACCATGGCAAGCTCTTTTCCTTTTTAGGCAACGGAGGATCTGGACTTGGATTTCTGATGCTCAAATTGGCCCTACGCAGCGCCACTGTAAAAGCATAGCTAATATCAGCAAGAGCTGGTTCGAAACCAACTCCATAGGAAATTTCTGCTTTCTGAAAATGTAAGGGCAAATCAGAGTATGTTTTCATTGGTGGTGTTGTCCCACTAGCAGAACGGAGCAAATGGACCTTCCTCCATCTCCCAATGTACACATTTTGGTGGATTTGAGGCTGAAAACATGTTGCCTGCACACGACATGGATAAAAAGGTTGATTTTGTGTTAACAAGTCTGTTGTCAAAATTCAAAACATTCTAAAACAAACTAAGATTACATCTCAAGAATAACATACTGTAGAATGAGGAATATAATATATCTTGCCACTTTAACACGATACTCCAAAGCAAAGAAGCAAAGTTAAACATAATGCTATCTCCAATGAAGACTTACTGCCAATCCTAACTTGCACAAGGTAGCATTTCAGTCACTTAATTGTAGAATAGGAAGAAAAGATTGGAAACAACGGACAAACTTGAAAGTTCCCTCGAGTATGGAGTTTGGCTAGGAAATTATAGTGATTACATGTTGCAACTTTGTAAGCAACTGATTCTAGAAAACATTACATCCCTAACCTGTACATAATTATGACAATCAAATCGAATTGAATCAAACCACACCTGATCAATCTAGATCAACTCAAAATAATCATATTCAAACAATCCGAGGCAAAAAATTACTGAAAGTTTCAGGAGTTTTTAAAAACTAGAGATAACAGAGCTTTGAGTTGTGTAGGGAGAATGGGAAACTAGGAAGATACGGATGTCTGCTTTGGTACTGGAGGAGATGAAACCAAGGTGATACTGTTCAGGCATGAATTTTTTGAATTGAAGGTGGTACCGACAATGGAATGAGTATGGACGAGAGGTGAGTCAGTGGAGATAAAATGGAAAATGTGGCTATTTTCTTGTGAATGGAAGGAGCTATTGAGCAAATTTTTACGGAGTCAGGCATGAAAGGAGGTCTGGTGTAGTGTGGCGAAGCGGAGGAGAAGTGGAGGGACTTTATGATGAATGGGACGTCTGTAAGTGGGTGTTAATGGTGGAGACAGCTGGTGGAAGAAGGGTCTCCTGGTGGCTGTGCATGCAGGAGGTAATGCGATGGTTTAGGATTTATGATTTAGAAGTTGGGAAAAGATCCAAATTTGCGCATAAACTAGGCGAAATGGCCTAGATTTTCCCCTAAACTATGGGTTAATGGTGATTAGTCATAATAGTTGACCATTATTCAACAAGGGTAAATCAAGCCCATTTTTGCAACTGCAATGGTAGATCTGACCTCAACTATTAACGGAGGCAAATTTGAACCTTTTCCCAAATTAAAAATTAAAAAAGAACTGTTTGAATTGATCCATATCTTAGCAATGGTAATTCAGTGGGCCTTCTTACAAGATACTAGATGGTGCATCTACCTGCTTCTTTTTTATGATGAGCGCCAATTTAGCTGTCACATCCTTCAGAAAGAAATCATTTGTATAGGTTTCACATAATTGCAAATAGTTCTTGTGGAAATATTTTCGCCAAAAGATTTGTTTAATAATTTAAAGATGAAGAAAACAGGAAAAGAGCAACGATCAGACCTGCTGAGCTAATATAACACGTCCTTCACATCTGCCAGAAGTTGCAGCAAATAGTGGGCACGTGTAATTTCTTATCCAAACAGCAAGGGAACCCGTCTGCAAATTGATATTACTACCATATAATCGTGAAAATGGGATGCTATGTGCACGGCATACTGGATCAAGCTTTTGCAGAATCTCTATCATCCCGAAATCACCTCCTTCAATTCTTGTCAAACTTACATCCAACTCTGTAGCAGAAATTGAAGAGAGAACTTCTGGCAGTGCTAGGCTTGAAACCCCCTTGAAACCCTTCACTACAGGCTCCAGATCCTTCCGATTGCACAAGATTTTGGCATGCCTGGTAGTATGACCTGAATGACTGCTTATAGATCTCCTCTCGCAGTTTCTGAATGGCTGAAGCGTCATCCACGTCAATATCTTCTCCATTGAAATGGATCTTACCATCTTCAAGAGAATCATTTTTCTCCGCAACACCAAGAGATTTGGTACCTTTCACAATAAGCTCATCAATAAAGTTTAATCTGACAGCTAATTCACAAGCCTCCTTCTTCAACAACT